AGTTTGAGTTTTGAATTTTTGAATGATATTGCTGACAAACGTCAAACTGCCTCTCAATGGTTTTACCTTGTTATGTTTTTATCATGCTCGAACCTATATTTGCATGAAAAATAAATTAGGGTTAGACGCCTGTAATTTAAGGTTGTTTGACATGTTGATTTCAATCGTTTCCTGCTGAGTTCAGTTGAATTGTCACCCGTCGTTGCGTGAATATGAGCAGCTACTGCAGAACGATGAACTTGTTTATTGTTTGTGTGTTTTTCGTGTTCTTTGAAACGAACAGAGATTTGGCGTTCGGTTTGTCCTATGTATTTTGCATTACAGCTCACACAGCTGATTTGATAAATGCCGCTCCGCTCATGCATAGGAGTAATATCATTAGTGGAGCCAAGAATATTTTATAATTTATTGTTGTTGGTGTAAACGATTTTCATGTCATACTTTTCAAATATATTCCTCATATGATTTGTGATGACCGGAAAATAAGTAAATGGTACAAGTATTAAGTTATTTGTTTGTATTTCTCGATTTTGAGCGAATAGTGTCAACAACAATAGTGTTTACAACAAACTTGACTTTGCTATTTATCGAAAACCCACTTCAACCGATCGTTTGATCACAAGGGATTCATTCTGCCCATATCAACACAAAATTGCATAATTTCATTCGCTAGTTTATCGCCTTGTCAATTTACCCCTCTCCATACTAATTACAAAAGGAATACCAAAAAATTATACATCTAGCAGCGATCAATGGCTTCGACAAAAATCTCATCGGCAAACTTATACATAAGTATTCCAATTTACATCGCAAGAACAGCAATCCACTTTACATCGCAAGTACAATTTGACGACACTATTCCCTCAATCGAGAAATAAAAAGAAATAACTTCATACGTGTACCATTTACTTATTTTCCGGCCATCACATATCATCTGAGGAATATATTTGAAAAGTATGACATGAAAATTGCTTACACCAACAACAATAAATTAGATAATATTTTTGGCTCCACTTAAGATATTACTCCTATGCTTGAGCGGAGCGGCATTTATCAAATCAACTGTGTGAGCTGGGATAATAAATAGGACAAACCAAATGCCAAGTCTCTGAAACGAAAAACACACAAACAATAAACAAGTTCATCGTTCTGCAGTAGCTGCTCATATTAGAGCTGCAAAAATATCGGAGCACTATCGATAGTATCGATGTTTTAATATTTTTTTGAAAACATCGATGTTTTTTTTACTATCGATGTTTTTAGAAGATATTAGGGCTGTGCGATTAATTGATTACTCAAAATTGTAATTAATCATAAAGTAAATAACTCAATTATTCGATTAATTGGAAATTATGATTACTCAAAAGTTCAGTTACTCGAGTAATCAAGATTTTTGATTAACCAAAAACAAAAATATTTGAGTAATTTGCTTTATGATTAATCAACATTTCGAGTAAAATGAGTAATCAACATTTCAACTCTCAACATATGTATAAAGTAGCTAAAGTTCCTTGATATTTTGAAAACAACGTTTCTGTTTTCAAAAATTAAAACAAAAAATTTTTTCATATACAGAATGTAAAAAAGAAAATAAGCATTTTCCAAAGCAAACTCTTTTAACGAGCAAAATTATTTTTTTTGAGTAATCATATTTCAAGTAACTCGATTAATTATCGTTTTGAGTAATCAAAATCTTTATTACTCGAGTAATTGATTAACCGAATAATTGATTAACCAACTTGCTCGAGTAATCGAATAATCGCACAGCCCTAGAAGATATGCCATCATTACAAAGTTTATCCGTTTCTGATTTGGGGCAGGCAAGAATTATAAAAATTAAAGCGCAATAAACTCATAATATTTAACAGTTAAGCTAAATTTGAACGCAAAAGCGTACCAATAAGTGTTTAGGGAACTTAATACTCATAAAAATGATTTTGTTAGTGCCATTCGATCTCTAGTTGGGAAAATTAAGACTAAAAACCTGAAGTGTACCATAGATTATTGCCTTAAAGAGCAAATATTTAATTTATTTAATAAGACATTAATTATAATACATATTAATAGTGTTTGTGCTTTATGAATATTTTTGCATTTTTTTTAAGCTTTTAATTAATTTAATGAATAACTTGCAATATTCAATATGACCTTAAATATAAGCCAAATTGATTTTTAAATTAATTAATGGATAATTTTTTAAATAATAAATGTAATTTGATTAAAAAGTTGTTTGTTAATTGATCAGGATTTCAGCTTTAAACAGAAAGTTATAATTGCCAAGAAAACACGATAGTATCGATTTTAATGGCACTACACGCGTTGTGGTAACAGCTTATATGGCAACACTTATGTTGCCCAAAATAATAAAATTACATCGCGTGTGGTGTCAACACTGGCGAGCTTACGATCCACATTCGTTTTGAGAAGGTGTATCGTAGGCTGGCTTCACGAAAGCCATTCAATCGCTACTCGTCACTTGACTCAATCGGTTGTCCGCAACAAAGTGAAAAATTCAAATTAAATAAAAAGTAAAAAAAATATTTATAAGCGAACGTAGTGTGCGCGTGTATTTTTTTTTAACTTAAAAACTATTAGAGCGGCCGTGTAACTTTAGCAGCACCAGCAAGGAGTAGTGTCCAGCAAACCAGCAGCAAAGGAGCCGGGTGCAGTACCTTGCACGAACAACAGCCGCACAAAGCGTACGTGGGTAAGCTAAATAGTTTTCGAAACTCGGGTGCTACGCCCCAAGTACCAGGCGGCGTTAAATCGATACTATCGATGTTTTACTGGCAAAAACATCGAAAAATCGATAGTTTCAAACACCGATGTTTTTGCAGCACTAGCTCATATTCTCGCAACGACGGGTGACAATTCAACCGAACTCAGCATCGGTACCTTTGAAGAGAGTGTGCGCCTAATAAAAGCTGTTCACAACAATAGAAAACTAGACGCATACGTATCACTTTACATCAGTAAAACAAAAAAATACCATGAACGCTGATAAAGGGAATATAGATTTGCCTCTCTTCGCTTTAATTTAGTTTACTTTTCGCATATACATACATACACATTATTTTATGGTTACCACGGTTGCCACGCGATAAAAAAAATTCTGTCCAGAATTTACAAAAAAAGTTACC